TTATTTAAAATAGTTGAATAGAGTGATTCGTGTGGTCATAACAGAGTAGGACACACATATACATTTGTCTCTACTGCTACAATACTCTTACACGGCTAAGTAAGTAGACATCGTAAAATTCTGGTATGGAACTGACGCTCTCCAATAAACTTGAATATTTTACATTGCGATCATCGCAGCCCACTTGACAATAATTGGAAAATGTGACAAACACTCAAAACTTATCGTTCGGTAATTATGATTGCAGTTTAATATATTTAGGTTTTCATATTCAGAGAGCGCTGCTTCCCGGTTTCAAAATGTCGCAATTCACAAATGATTTTTAACGAAGCCTTTTCGTAGTATCAATTTTTTGTTTAGATATCAGTCGTTTATAGTTTTCCTATTAAAACCTTTATGACTTTCACTGAAATAGTAATATTTTCCTAAACCTCAAAAAAAAAACTATATGGCAAAATTATTTCTAATTGGCAACTATTTCCTAAACATTTTTACAAATAAATTTTAACACTGGCACTTAATAAAAAAAATACCATTATAGTCACAGATAAAAGAAAAATTCCTGTACACGGCCACAAAATATTCGATTTTCAAACGCGTTGCGTCGGGAAAACGCCGACGGGAGGTTGCCGACGGCCGGCGAGTCTCGCGCTCCCCTCCACCAATCAAAGTGTAGAGCCCGCCCCACGACGAGTGAGACAGCCGTATGCGGAAAATCCATTTGCAAGACAAGGACAAAACACGTGCGTGTGTTTATACCGCGGCGGGGGAAATATGATGCATCGTGTTGTTTTAGTATCGGTTACTGTTCGATTTATTTATGTATTTCGTTTTTTGCAAGAGGTAAGGAGTGGATTAACTTGAAATTATATATTCGACGAATAATATGTACCGACTTACGGATAACATTGGTCATAACTTTTAATTTGTTTGTTTGTTTTGCAAGTTTCAGTTGAAACTATAAGTTTATATGAAAATGTAAGTCTAGGTAAAGAAAAAGACTGGAACCTTTAGAAATATAGACACAATAAGGGCTAACAATAACTTTTGCGAGTACTTGCAAACTGTGTGTGTCGTAGTGTGAGTTAGAAAATTTGTGTGCTTGTGTGCGTTTTCCACAGAAGGGGAAAGCGCGCCATACGCACATTTACAACGTCACATTTTGAAAATGGAATGCCCTTTTAACTTTTCCAATACGCAGATGGCGTTTTATAAAAAAAATACTGGCCAAAGAGTTTGAATGCTTTATGCTTTAATATTTTAGAGTGAGAGCAACAATTTAAAGTTTGTTTGTTTATGGTTATGTGTTTATATTATGTTATCTCATTCTGGGTAGGTAGTAAATATTAATTTAATATGGGTAAAATGTCCTTAAAGACTAAGGAGAGAGTAAGCAAGAACTATACCTGAAAGTTAAGATAAGAAGCTTATCCAGTTAACAGTATCGTACAGAAATCTGCATACATATTTAAAGATCACAATTTACTTACGTAGGTTCCTACATTCAATCACCTCTCAAAATAAACTTATACCGTGTGAAAATACAGAATACAAAATACATACAAAAAAAACCGTTAATTGTCCACCAAATATTCATAAATAGTTAGGAGTTCATTTAAATAATATTCCCATTGTGATTAACACAGATGCAACTCTATGAATCCAGAGCTTCATTTGAGATCGAGGGTCCATATCATTAACAGTAGGTAATATTAAAAGCTATTGTTTTTGTTTACATTAGGGTCAGATGTGCCTATATTTTGTTATGTTTTGTTCGTAATAAATAACGGCGTCTGGTTTTAAACAACCTTTGTTGCAAATTTGATAGGTGAGTACCGTATTCTATCCGATTACAGATAATAATATTATAATAATCATTATATTCATAAGCATTATGATTGAACACTTAACAAATAATAATAAGCCTTTTATTCGGATAACAAAAACAAAAAATACTTTCTTACATTACGTGAACTAGAACATTTTTATTTAATTAAAATTTTTCGCATATTTGGTGCTTCTTCACTTTTTGTAAATCCGTTTGCCAGTTGGCAAAGGCCTCCTCCAACCTACTCCATTCTGATCTCTCTCTGGCTATTCTACTCCATGTTTTTCCAGCGACCTGCCTAATATCATCGTCCCATCTTTTTTGCTGTCTTCCTCTTTTCCTATTACCTTCTCTTGGGTACCATTGCGTTAATATTTTGTTCCATTTTTCCTTTCCTCTGATCATGTGTCCCGACCACTTCCATTTTAGCCTTTTTATTTTTAAGGTTACATCCTGTATCTTGGTCTTTTTACGAATGTTGTTGTTTCTTATTCTATCACTCCTCTTTGCTCCCAGCATGCTCCTCTCCATCGCTCGTTGACAGACTGTAACTCTATCGGTACTGTTTTTTGTTAAAGCCCATGTTTGGCTACCATATATTAAAATTGGAAGAATGCAGATGTTATACAGTTTACTCTTTGTTGCGATATGGAGGTTTTTGTCTTTCATTACTTCCTTTAGGCTCCAATATCTTTTCCAACTGTTTGCTATCCTTCTTTCGATTTCTTTATTTATGTTATCCTTGGGTGATATCACCTGTCCGAGGTATACATATTCTTCAACATAGTTAATCTGTGTGTCGCCCACTTTAATGCTGCTTTTATTTCCATTAGTCATTACTTTTGTTTTCTCGGGATTTAATTTTAGTCCCACTTTCTCGCTCTCAAATGCTAGTTCGTTTAACATTATGTTTAGGTCTTCTGACGATTTTGCAAATAACACAATATCATCGGCAAATCTTAAGTGTGATAATGTGCGGCCGTCGATATTTAATCCCAAGTTTTCCCATTTGAACTTTCTGAAGACCATCTCTAGAACGGCGGAGAAAAGTTTTGGAGAGAGAGGGTCTCCTTGCCTTACTCCTTTTTGTATCTTAAATGGTTCTCCTTTCTTTTCTAACAGAATGCATGCCGAGCTATTTTTATATACATTTCTTATTAATCTTATATATTTTTGCTCGATTCCTTGTTCTCTTAAGGCCTCCCAGATATGTATATGTATTAACGAGTCGAATGCCTTGCTATAATCGACAAATGCCAGATAGTATGTGAGTTGATATTCTCCGTATTTCTCGATGATTTGCCTAACAGCATGGATATGATCAAGCACTGAATAATCTTTCCTAAATCCCGCCTGTTCTATTGGCTGTTGTTCTTCGAGTTTTTTCTCTATTCGCTTGAGTAGGATCTTTGCAAATATTTTGTACAGGTTGGACATCAGACTTATGGGTCGGTAGTTTCCGATATCGTATTGATCTCCTTTTTTGTACAAAAGGATTATATTTGATTTAGTCCATTGCTGTGGAATCGTTTCTGAATTGATGATATCATTGAAAATTTCTCTGAGAATAGGTGTTATACTCTGTTTCGCTTGTTTTAATACTTCGTTGCTTATTCCGTCTGGTCCTGGGGCTTTATCATCTCTTTGGGTTTCCAGAGCGAATTCTATTTCCTCCTGCATGATACTCGGTACTGGGGAAGTTTCTAACAATTCTATTTCTTTTCCCATTTTAGTATTTTCGTATAGTTTTTTGTAGCAAGTTGTAGCGATTTGTAGTATTCCTTGCCTTCGGCTCTCCTTCGATCCTTTACCATCTGTCATCCGTATAATCCAATCTTTTTTTCTTTCATTTAACTCCTTATATGCCTTTTTTATTCCTCCCGTTTGTAGAATGTGTTTTTCTATTGTTTCCATTCTTCTGTGAGTTCTATCTTTTCTAATACTTTCTTTTATTTCTTTGCTGAGTTTTGCTATTTGTTTTCGCCTGTCTTTGGTATTTTTGCCATTGATTAGGTCAGCTCTTTGATTAAGAAGGTTAACGGTTTTAGCAGATATCCACTTGTTAGATACATTCTTGTTAAAAGTCCCTTGTTCAATAGGTGTTTTGATTATTCCTTCTAACCAGTTGTATTTTTCTTGCACCTGCATGTTAGTTAGTACTTTATTGTATTCCATGAGTTTTGGCTTAATTAGATTGACTATTTCGGTTGTTTGGTATTTGGTCGGCTTTGTGTTCATCACTTTGTTTCTTGGTCTTGGATTTTTCGGTGGGAAGGCCAACAATTCTGCACGAATCATTCGATGGTTGGTATTGAAATTGAAATTATTTATGACTTTCATGTTTGAGAAGTATCTGCTTTTGTTAGTCATTATGAAGTCTATTTCGTTTTTTATTGTCCCGTCTGGTGATAACCAAGTCCACATTTTACTTTCTTTCTTCTTGAACATTGTGTTTAAGATTTTCAAGCCATTTTCCTGTGCAAAGTTTACAAGCTTCTCTCCGTTTCTGCTTCTTGTCTTTTTTCTATAAATAAATGGTCCCAAGACTGAGTCTTCTTCTGGCTGTCGTTCTCCAATTTGACCATTGAAGTCTCCCAGTACAATAAGGTTTTTGTAAGCATGATCTCGGATTGCTTTATTTACATCTTGGTAGAAAGAGTCTACTGATCTTATTTCAGATTGTTCCGTAAACGAGTAAACTTGTATGATAGACCATGGATCTTTGAACCCCGGTAGCTTTATATTCATCACTGCTATGCGCTCTGATACTCCTATGAAGCTCTCCACATAATTTGTAAGATGCTTTTTGATAATGAAACCAACTCCGTATTGACCTGGGGTTGTTCCGATATGGTAAAGGAGGAAGTCTGGATGGGAAATAATTCTTTCCCCCATTCGCCTTACTTCACTCAGGCCAACAATGTCCCATTTAATCTGCTTTAACGCATATGATAATTCTGCAAGGTTTTCATCATTTTTCAATGTAAGCACATTGAGGGCTGCAATATATATCTTTGATTTTCTTTGGATGTTTTCATGATATTTTTTCTGTGTTGTTGGAGGGTTACGGTCGCTATCCCCCACGAGGACCAGTCGGCTTGGGGGAGATTGTGTTGTTTCTATTGTTTGGTTTTCGTGATTTGGTTGGATTGTCCGTTTGCCGGTTGTCGATTGCTATAGTTTATTATGATTAGAGCCGCCAGAGAGCGAGTTTGATCGGGTTCTCATCAAATCGAAGGCGTTTGTTCTGTTAGTTTTGATAGAACTTATCGTTTGTTGTTTCTTAGGATTGTTAGTTGACGATGATTGTGGTGAACTGGATAGTTCTCTTTTCCTTTTGTCGGTGTTTGGTCCTTTAACTATCAGTTTATCATATTTCATAAAAGCAATATTTCCTTTTTTCTTCTCCTCTAGTAGCTGTGGTAGCAGAGCCTTTCTCTTCTCTATTACTTCCTTAGAATAGTCTTCTGCTATAAAGATTCCCTTAAGACTTTTTTTATTCTTTACGATTTCATCTTTTTTCCATCCGTTTGTAAATGAGAATAAAACAGGTCTATGTTTGTTCTCATTTCTTTTTCCCAAACGGTACAATCTGTTCATTTCATTTTGTTCCACAGATAAATCTAAATCTCTTTTAAAAATATCTTTAACATTTTGAAACAGCTCTGATGTCGATTTTTCACTCTCCTCCAATCCATAAATAACTATATTGTTACTTCTCTTCTCCTTTTTTAAACACTTAACAAATATAACGTAGTATTTGTTACATGATAAAATTCGCTACAAAGCTCCAAAGCAAATTAAACGTACGAAAATCAAAATTGCTTACTTTTTTTAACTCGTCGAGTACCGGTTTTGTAGACACAATTATAGAACAATAGGTTGCGGTCACCGGTGACCGCTTGGTGTTTGACAGTTTAATGTCAGAAATCGAGCTCTAAAGGTCAGTGCCATCTTATAGCCATTAAACCTAAAATACATAACGAAAGTGTGAATTAAACCTAAAAAATTATTATTATTATTATTATTAATCTAATTTTCTTAATCCAAAATAGAGATTTTGATGAAGAAGAAAACTCAAGAAACTCCATCGATACACATTTTTAATCTATTTTACCTCGATATAAAATAAAATGTATAACATAATTGCGATTGCATTTATTATAGAGGTCAAATATAAATACACACGCCACCCATCCGTAAAATTGGCCTTGTATCTGATGAACTAATAAGCAACATCAATGTTGTTCTCACATGGAACTCAGTCAATCGAATCGATTCGATATTATTATCTAGTTTATGTTCATCAAGTTCTAATGCTCTAAAATATTGTAATACTAGCTGAGCTGCCTAACTTCGTATCGCCTAAAACCTTTTAAATCTTCCCTAGACTTCCAGGAACATTTCAAGACCAAAATGAGCCAAGTTGGTTCAGCCGTTCTCGAGTTATAGCGAGACTTACGAACGGAAATTCATTTTTATTTATAAGATAGATTTTAATCGTAAAAGCCAGTAATTCTTGTGGCTCTTCTGATGTTGTGGGTGTCCATGGACTGCGCTGATACTTATCATGAAGTCGTACCTGTCTGTTCGTGTCCTCCTATTCTATAAAATAACATTGCTTTATTTTACCTGTTAAATACTGTCAATGACAACTTAATGAGGTCTTAAATTCAGTCCTCGGATAAGGAGTACTCACTTCTTTTACGTTTTGCAATGTCAAAATTTTTAGCAACAGCAGCCTTGAATCGTGCGACACTATGGTTGTCTCTTTCCTATATTAGGACTAAAAACTAACCAAAAATGAGGACTTTCAACCTAAAAGTTACAAAAAGGAAGAGAGTGTCTCGTTTTAGTATTTTATTGTACCTATTTTAATTACTCTCTTTCGTTTCCAACTCTTATATAATCAATCTCCATCATCGAACATCTGCAGAAATAATATGGCCCTATTAACACAAAACTCCATTAGACTGTCAAACACCAAGCGGTCACCGGTGACCGCAACCTATTGTTCTATAATTGTGTCTACAAAACCGGTACTCGACGAGTTAAATCTCCTAAAACATCTTTTACAGAACAATATCAGTCCTAAATATCAATAAATTGATAGCAAAAGACACGAATACACAATACCCTTTCATCGCATCGTGAGTAAAGCGTCGTAAGTAAAGAACCGCAAAAAAACCGCGCGGTTTGCGGAAGACACCGCGCGTCAAATTGACTGCATCCCTCATCTAATCTGTAACCTATCGCTGAAAAGGATTCTCGTCCTTTTTTAATACGATAATGTGGTGCAAGGGAGAGGAGACAACGATTTTGATAGTAAAATAACGATCAGACAAGAATGTCTATGGAGATAATGCAAGTCTTACAAATTAACCTGATCGGTTTCTACAGTTTGATCGTCATTTGTTTTTATTCAAAAACATCATGGGCCAACAGAAAGGTATGAGATTTTTCATTATAAACTATGATTGGTACTAAATTCTGTTATGATTTCTAAACATGATTTGTATAATCAATAGTCACCATTAAGTACCTCTACTATAAAAGGGTTGAATACAGTAAACATATTGATAATTTTGGTGATACAGTGTAAGGAAAAGGATCTAAATCTGGCTAATTTTGGCCACCCCGCTACATCTTCTCATTTAGGGCTGCCACCAAATCTATCGGCATGCACAAAGCATTCGTTACTTAAGCCGTGCACGGGATGTTGTGAGTCGCCACTGATGCGTGTAAGGTGCAGCAGCTGCGACCGACGAGCCAGCCCTAGCTGACGATGTACGCTGATTTATGAGTTTTTGCCAATTTCAGATCATTTGGGATTGGAGATATTAGTTTTAGGGGCTTGTTTGGGTAAATAAGGATAGTAGGCGTAGCATTATTTTCGGTCGTTTATATTTTGTTGTTTATTGTGACGACAGTAATTTATGGACGTGGTTGTGAAGCAATCTGCGTAAAATTGTAGGTACGCGACCATTGATCCATATTAGATGTCCATGTTATGACTTACACAATATGGAACAACTTCAACGCCTTTATAAAGTCATTGCCGTTATTTTGCACAATGGCTCGATAGGCTGGCTCACAATCGCAATGTTACAAAACGCTCCCGAAGAACAATCCCTTACAAATGCGAACTACAAAATAAATCTATCGATGCGTAAATTAAGGATCAGACTCTATTCACCTAAGGTACGAGTGCAAATAAAAAAATGTAAAGAAAATGTTTTAGTCCCGCGTATCTAGATGTCCCGCTGTGGTACCCCACATTGTTCTTAGACAAACACTTTCTTTATACAAGAAAAAGTACCATTATTTATTTTTTAGTAAATCGGCCGCGAATTCTATTGTCCAAGCACAACGATTTTAATGCTTGAATTAATATGAGTTGAACAAAATTTTAAATTAAGCGCCCAACGGAGTATTGTATCGAAGATTTGGCAAACAAACTGTGTCAATAAAGAGGTTTTTTGGTTTGAAATGGAGAAGATGTGACCTTAGCTGTAAAAAAAGATGACGGCTCAATCAGTAACCAGGCGTGTCGAATAGCGTGTCATGGTATCGCGAAATCTCACAATAAGTATGAGCAGGCGTGAAATTAGGTTGATATAAATTAGGGCTAAGTCATTCTTGTGTTGAGCGGCGTGACGATTGCCGCGTGTCCGCCATTGTGAGGCGGCGGCGGCCCGGATCGGCGTGTGAAACCATTTTGTTTATTTAGCGAGGTATCGCATTGTGCGTTATGACCGTCTCGTTGTCAATTAATTGCGTGTCATTGTACTTGCGTCATGTTTTTGTTTTCAAATTGTTCGTTTCACTAAATATTAGTGGGTTAAACTATTTTTGGATCGTCACTGGATTTAGTGACAAGTTAGCGATGTTCGTTGCTGTTTTGTTGAGTTCAATGAACTATTCAGGAGCTGTGTTGTTGAAAAATTTAGTTGCTTAGATGGTTGTTAGGTTTCATGTGAGATCTAGATAATGTATATTATTGAATGTATGTGTCTATTCTTATTTACATGTTAACGTAATAGGTAACTTTACTTTTTGTAGTTTTCAGTGACTGATGAAAATATTACAGTTTGCAAAAAACTTTTAATGGAGCTACGTCGTTGTTACATTTATATATGTTAATAATGTTAATTTTGATTATTTAGGAAACTTCGATCTTCTTAAAACTTATATTCGTTGAAATTTTTCAGGCTCCTTGTGACGTTTATAATGTTTAATGTTGCAATATCCAAGTAGTATTGTGTGTTTTGCATGGTTGTCTTTGAGATAGCACATTTAACGAATGTTTAAAACTTTGAGAAACAAAAGTATGGTAGTACCTATCTACCTATGTGATGACTTTGATATTTTTATATTCTTCAAAGTTTTACTGAAATGAAATAAAACTAACCTCGAAAAACATCTTAAATTATAACATTACTTTTTAGTACAACCTCAGTTCGAAACTAGGTTCAATTTTAGTACCCCATTAAGCTTAGCCAGCGGACTTTTTACACCCCACATTATAGTAGGTCGTGAACATAAACCTGCGGGTGCTGGCAGGAGGGTAGTAAAATATTTTATCGCACTTTACGATCGTAACGCCTCAGTTACAGTGGATACGTGCTGTAAGTAGGTTCTGTCGTTGAAAAGTTTGTTACTTTCTGATATTGAAGGATTTATGCTAATTTTCATTAATTACTGATAGACAGAGAAAGTTGGCGAAGGATTCAGGCTTAGTTTAACTTAAAAGAAAAGTCAACTAAGTAAGTTTTCGCGGCAAACTAAAAAAACACTAGAAAACAAAACTGCATCCATTTGTATCCGAGAAAAATTCGGCATTTATGTATCCACATGATCACTTCAAGCTTCAACCACTTATTAAAATATTATAATAACAACTACATAAAGAACAATAAACGGAAAAGCTAAGGACGGTGTTATACAGCATGCTCGAAGCGACTGCCGCGCCGCGTATTTGTGGGCGTTGGTAGGAACGAGCGGGCCTATGTGTGAGTGGGGTTACAGCAGTGTGCGTCACCCACCCTAGGGTGAGCGCGAACGCGTCGGCACAACTCGTCCCCTCTAGGCCCCGCCCCCTGTGATGCTCACACGGCTGACTTGGAATCAGATGGCTTGGGCAGTCGCAAGCGAGCCGTGACATCGTGAACGGTTCGCAGCCTCCGAGCGTGCTCTCACTCAATACTTAGGGTATTCGATGATTACGCGCTACACTGACCATCGGGTGCGTTTAGAAACTTGTCAAATTAAAGAATTCCGGTTATAAGATCACGCGTCGCCGCATCCGTATGAGGAACTGTGTAGTTTATTGAGTTTTTTTGTGAATTTTGTGTTGCGGACTTTTGAGTGGTTTCCTTGATGCACTGTGACGCTGTTACCTTCTTTAGGTAGGTGCTCTTGTAATTTTAAGTCTAGGCCAATTGTTGGGAGACCTCCAATCTATATTTTACAAGTACCTGAATTAGCCAAAAGTGGTTAAAGTTGTGACAACTCACTGAAACATGTATTGTTTCAGCCGAGCCTTTCCGCTCTAAAAGCTCTGGCATGCTCAGTCAGTAGGTATCATGTAAAACTGCTGAAAATTATCGCCATTCCTCTTCTATTTTAAATAAAAAATGTCTGACAAATTATAAACAATACTTTTGTTATTATTTTTGTTATAATAAAATATAACTATTAGGCGTTTGCAATGAATCTGCAAACTTTAGTACTTGCACCGAAAATTATTTTGGAACCACAGATTACGTATCACTATAGTTTCATAATTTTTTAATTTATGAATATATTTTTTTCAAAAGTTCAATTCTCATAAATTAAATAAACTTAGGTACTAGTTCACTGAAATGAAAAAGATAAGCCTCAAAATGAGTCTGTGGATTTTTCTAATCAAGTCACAGAAAACGTTGTTAAATAAATAAACTAAAATATTTTTTTTGACTAACAATATTTTTTATAATTCCGATAACTAAAGAAGGAATTTGTCTATAATGTCAATGTTTAATTTCAAGTATCTTTTTAGGAATGAATACATTTTAAACGCCATTATAAAAGAAAAATTCAAATGCAATTACATTTTTTATCTATTTCTAAAGATACTCTTATTTTCTAAAGATAAAATTGACCTACCTGTGCCACATACATCCAGCCTCCCCAGAGTATGTAACTTGATATTTTTGTTTGGCCTATCTGACCGACTTTTTTTAAGTGTAATCGACTCATTTCATACAAACTGCATTGTTAAGATTAATTCGTAATAGTAAACACTTGGTCTTATTGTTATAGTAACATGATAGTTTTTGAAATTTAATTATTTTTGCTAGGAAAGTTTTTTTGTGATTATCAAATTCATATGGAAAATTAAAAAAATACGGAAAATGGTGTAGGCAAATTTTACTTTTTAATGTAATTTATTGACAATCAGCAATAGTTTATGATTATTAAAATAGGTAACATATCTACACCATTGCGTTGTCTAAAAACCCTATATTCATGTGACGCAGAAAAAAAATAAAAAACAAAAATATCTGCGCTTTTTTTAATTTAAATACAGAACATAAATATGCAAACAGACTGTCAAATTTGAAAATCGAAAACTTCTTTTAACTTTGATGTTACCGAGGTACAAATGTTGGGATGCGCCTATTGTGAATTTTTGAACGGAGACCAAATCGATAATTTCGTTAAATAGAGCAGGGTATTGTTAAACCGAATAATTTTTGCGGTAACCGATACTTGAGGCACAATGGACGACATTGATGTAGGACCGGCTAATTTTGCTAGAGATGATTATTTTATGTTAAATTTATAGATAAGTTCTAGTGCAAGGCTAATTTAAAATAGAGTAGTTAGTGTAGTAATTTGGTACATTTTTGAAAATAAAATAACTGCGTAAATGAAGTAGGTATGTAGACAAAAAAACCATGACATATACACAGGATCTTTTTCTAGGTTCTTCATAATGTTTTGTGCCTAGAAAATTGAGCAATTTTATTTTTACACAGTACAAAAGAGGCGTGTAAATGTCCCCATGCGAAATGTATACCTCTCCACAAGTGATAAAGTCCTTTAAGTTAACGATTATGAGTAAAAAAATATCGCAGTACACATACGGCTCGAGGATAATAACAGAAAAATCAATAAATCGAAACTTGTAAATCAATTCAAGCGTGCCGACAAAGTAAGTACGGCAGAAGTAGCACTATTCAAATGTTCCATAGACTATTATTTATACTTCAAAAGCCATCGGGCTCGAGTGTTGACATCCCTATTATGTAACAACTCCCAGGGGTGCCGCGCAGCACTTTGACAATTTTTTTCTATGTATTAATGACATATTTTTGACAAAGAAAGACATAACCATTGATAGTTTCGCAAAGAATTCTCACATGCTGTCATTACACGGTCCTAAATGCAATTTCGCTACTCTTGTTAATGTGCCTTTTGACATCTCAAGTAGAAATCGACGTAAGGGATTTTTTCCATCTTAAAATTAGTAACACAATAAAAAATGACAGCTCTATAGTTATAATCTATATTTTTTTATTCTAATTACAAGTATAAATTATAATAGAAAGCAACTCAATTGAGTTGTTTTTAATTAAAAACAAGAGAAACGTTTCGAAAATATTAATATTAATAAACATACCTAAGCTGAACTGTTTAATAATCTCTTTGGAACAGCCGACTCCCAGTGTTACGATTTCTAATTCATATTAGTCAAAAAATAAATAAAATATAATCTGGTGATGGGTTCAAAATAACACCTTCTCGAATCTCAATAGCATCACCCTTTCATGATGAGGCTTAATAAGGATTAAGATAGAGCCTTTTTCGAAGTAAAAAGCTTTTGATGTATCTCCCTTATACCTTTTTTATTTGTTTTAAGTTTTATAATGTCCGTTCCAATCCGTCGATGACATTTTAAAAAGAGTATCGTTAATAAAATGATTTTGTTAAATGTGTTCAACTTTGCGCACAAATTTGTTATTTAAAATTATCTTATAATTTCATACCTATGTCAGAACGATTTTGTGTTAACTTTAATTTAAAACATTTGTGAGCACAATTTAACACAAGGGCATTGCATATAAAGACTCTTTTGGAACCCCGTTTAGAATTGTAACTGATAGACCAACTTTTCCTTAAAAGATACTAGTTTATTCTCCTAAGAATACTATATCATATTATAATAAATCTAGCACCTACACTTGATGACCACAAAAATCCAATTTTAATATACAAAGCGCATATCTAACTTAAAACTACGTAAAACTGTCTACATCTATTGTGCTACTGAGAATGCATTAAAATACGAAAATTCTAATCAATGCATACCGCACTCACATATCTACAAGTCACTCCCACACCCAATAGTAACTTACATTCATTAAACCTTACAAAAATTAGCTCACAAATCACTTTCAAATACCTCAGTACATCTTTACACCTGATATTTGTACTTTTTTATTTTATTTTTGTCCGGAGTTAGTTTTTTTCAACCACTGTGTAGGTGAGGAGGCCTTATTCTGAACGTCACAATGGCACGATTGATTTATCGTGCCGACGTTACGTGGTAACCTACTGTTCTGTGTGGTTGTCGAATCAGGCTCCAGTATGGTCAGCAAGTGTGTCAAAATTGAGGTAGAGAATTAAGCTGTTTTTATACTGTTGTAATAAAAAATGTACTTAAATTGCGGTTTGTAAAAACAGTGAAAACTATGTGCCCATGCTTCGATGCATGTGTATAATTTTGTCAATGCTATATTTCATTTAGATGGTGTATGGAAGTTGAATAAAGCTAATTGACACAAAGGGTAGACTAAAAATACTTTTGCATTACAATTAGGAATGTTACAATAGCAGCCTTTAGCCTGAAATATTACAAGCAAAAATCATATGAAACTATAACTTAGATCCTCATATAAATAAACTAATGCAATTGTCAGTTGCTTGCTATCTCTACCTGTCAGTTAGAAATCAATATAACAAATCGGCGGGACTGCTTTGCTGACTGTACAACAGCCGCAGTGTACCGAGAGATAGTAATTTATTTCTATTCTGAGAACATTGTAGACATGACACCTTTAGGCGATGCGAGGTAGCACAAAGTAACATCCAGTTACTTCATAACAAAATACCTATTCCATTTAGTATTAAAATATATGAAGTTCGAATGTCAAAAATATAAGTAATTAATAAAGTTACATCCGCACTCGAAAATAAAAGATTTATTTCTAATTTGACACAAATTCGTCCCACTGTGCACGTAGAACCGCAAAGTAATTCAAATTCAAACAAACATCAAGAATTCAAAATATTGTCAGACTGCAAATTATAAACCTTAGCTTGTAGTAACGACATTTGCTAAAAAAAAACAAAACAAAAAAAAAAATAGGAAAAAAA